ATGTTTGCAGTAAAATTGTTTGTCACACAAGACTACGTTATGGGTGTGGCATACCCAATTATTTAGGTAGAAAACAATTGCAATGAAACTAAAGTATGAAATTTGGATATCTGTCACTATGTGTGTGAAGCTAAATTGGTTCCTTGCACGTTGTGCGGTTGTGGTGACCCATGCGTTAACACCGGCTACATCGAATTTGTTGCACTTCTTCACCTTGGGAAAGAATTCTTTTTTTTTTTTTGGTCGGCCTGGTGGTCGTTTGACCAACGGTGGGTGTATGACAAAATCATCAGGATTGAATGTTGGTTTCTCAACAGTTGGAATGGGTTGTATGTTATGTTGGTATGAGTTCAGGTAAGCGTCCACATGGTAAAATTCAGCCACTAAATCGTACAGGTCGAGTCCGCTGTTTCGGATAGCAACAACTGCGTGAGAGCATGGAAATCCATTTATTTGCACTTGAAACAGGGACATGTACGTTTGTCAACGTCAACCATGACGGATGGGAAAGAGTGAGAGCAAGGAAATCCATTTATTTGCCACTTGAAACAGGGACATGTACGTTTGTCAACGTCAACCATGACGGATGAGAGAGAGTGGACCTCGAACACTGTATCGGTGTATTGGCTGACAAGCCATGCTCTGCCTTTATTGTACGCTTTGACCAATCGAGCTTCCATTTTTGGGCAAATAACACCGGGTCATGCTTGTGCTTTTATTTTGCGTTTCGCCATTTGACGGATAATCTTAACTCGAATGCTGTCAACCAGTTGAGTAATTGGTAGGTGGCGTGCTTCCCGTATCCACGAGTTAAACGATTCAACGGCATTGGAACTCATCTCACCGTATCGTGAATCGCTGCTATTGGAAAAGTACAATTTTAGTGGGGACATACGCAAATGGCATGACAATGTGATAAGTATAAACATGTGAGGTGCAGTATAAACGAAAAGGAAAAATAAAGACTGAAATACATACCGAAAGTAAGCATTAGCCCAAAATTGAAGGGGTAAGTCTTTTAAGAATGCGGGAACAACCTTCCTTCCGCATTTCGTAAATTCCTCGACGCATTGCGTGAATGAAGCCACAGTGGGTGTGTAAGCACAAGCCCGGAATTTGGTCAACATTCCAGCCCTGTATGAAGTGTTGACATATCGTAACTTATGTTGTAAGTTACGTTGCAAATGTTGTAGACAAAATGCGTGATGGGCTGTGGGAAATGTGATGGGTATTGATTCCAATAAGCCTGCATGTCAGTCAGATACGAATGTAAGGGTCCTGTGACTGTTGACAACATTTGCGAGATGTCCCAAGAACCATGCCCAGTTTGTGGTGTTTTCTGAATCGACAATTGCGATGGCTACAGGGAAGAGACCTAGAAAGGGTTGTTGTGAGTTAGGTTTGCAAATATGTTGGTGGTGTGTTAGTGAGACCAATTGACATGTGAGTGAGTCAATGTACACTATAATTATTATTGTACAAAATTAATGATTTGTATCAAGCGTGTGTAACAGTACCTTGATTGCCATCCTTCGCAGTAGCGGCTAGCAAGTGTCCCTTGAATTTTCCCTTCAGAAAAGTCCCATCCAGGAATAGTAATGGCCGGCAATGATTGAACCCATCGATATATGCTTTGAATGATATGAAATACCTTATGAAACGGTTGTTGTGTTTATCACAGTCAATGTTGACGTAACTTCCAGGGTTGTTTTCAACGACAACGGAACTGTACTAGCGCAATTGGTCGAACGAAATGAAGTGTGCACCAAACATCTCCCCTTGAGCTTTTTCAACACCTAACCACGCAACCCGGTAGCTAACCTCTAATCTATAATCTTTTTTGAGGTCATAGACAACATCTGTGGGTCGCGTGAGTGGCTTGTCACGGACCCGATCTGAAATAACATCAGACACTAAATCTGAACGAGCCCTGGGGTTTTTCGGGGTCCGAACAGCTACGCCACAGATGTGCTCCTTATTCCACTTGCGAAGGTAGAAAAATCTGTTGGCATGCAAAACGCGTGCGTGTACCGACCACATGCATCCCTTCGATTCCCTCATCATGCATACAGCTGTGATCCGCACAGAATCGTTTTTGACATATTTAAAACGGAAGCCACATTCGACAGCATACTTGCGAAGAACACTTCGGAATTCATCTGCTCCACCTTCAAAACTTTGGCCAATACGTTGAATCCCGTTAGCCTATTGGGCAGACAAGAACACCTTGTCAACATGAGGGCAGAATTTTGCCAACAAATCATCTTCATCGTCGAAGTCCGACTCGTCAAACACATCAGTCGGCTGACAATGAGCTATCTGTAATTGGTTGTTTGCATGGTGACCGTCTTCTGCACGTCGTATTTCAATTAATACATCAATGCATTGCAATTGAAAAGACCGTGCAAGACACACCATCTTCGCCACATCAACATCGTTCTGTAATATGAAATTGTTGTAACCGGGCATCTTGAAGTAGAAACATGCATCGGCAGGGGTGAGCCCTTCAAACTTGTCACACACACCACTGACCACGTCGTCAAATCGAAATGGGACTTGCAAATTAATAGCAACATTCACATTGTCGTAACAACATATTAGCATAATTCCATTGTCCATCTTCCTGCGAATGTGAACATATGATTCATGAGGGAGATAGGAACAAAAGATAAAAATAAAGAACACTAAGAAACATGGCAACACACACACTTTAAAAGATGCCTCCCCACCCACAGTACGTCACATGTCCCTACGTTACCCAAACAGAGCACATCCCATCAAGAAAACGTGACACTTCAGAACTTGGGGTAACACCAACGAAAAGAAAAATACCACTAGCACATCACACACCATTAAAAACGACGCCTCCGAAACGCATGTCCTTATGTTCCCCAGACAGAACGAAGTCCCACAAACACCCAACAAACCAGACACACTGTAGAGCCGTGATTGGCCAACATACAGAAACCACTCACAAACATGAAACATGAAAAAAACACAGAACACAATGTAAATAACTACAATCCATATGAAAGGTAAACGACCCAAGGAAAAGTAAGCATACCAGGTAGAGAATGGCGTACACACGGCAGTTTTCTTGATCTCTGCGGGTGTGTCACACAGCCGTCAAAAAAAAAAAACCACATTCAAATTCGAAAGCCCTACCTCACAATGGCTGAAATGTATTTGAATGTATCATCAAAATTGCCCAAACCGGAATGAGCAACGTTTCCAAAACAAGAACTGAACCCATAAGACATTAGCACATTAAGCGAAGGGCAAACTCGTCCACACAGTGACACCAAGAATGGAAAAAAAAACAAAAATGACCAACTCAACCCACCAGCAGGACTAACGAATATATTAGAATAAAAGTGGGATTATTTGGTATAACAGTTTGTGAAATAAGATTTATTGGTAAATAATCCAATCTAAATTTGTAGACAAAAAATACATTATCTTTCAATTAAAAATAAAAATATATTAATTATAAAATCTTATTTTACATACTTCTTTACATAAAAAAAAAATGTCATACCACGCTTTAATAAAAATACTATTAATAAAGGATAAATTACAAATACATTCTCTGATATTTGCTTAAAATACAGATTACCTATGTCGTTTGAAAAATTACAAAAACATTATTGTCAGAATTTTTTATTTAAAAAAATTAATTGAAAAAATAAAATTCCTAACTACACTATATACAATAATAAAATTACTTGAATTATTAATTAAAATAAATTTCTAAAATCCTTAAAAATTGTTAATTAACTTGATGATTAATTAATAAAAAGAACTATTTATTATGAAATTAGAAATTCAAAAGGCAAAATGTAATTTCTAAAACTGTTTGGGAAGTGGTTTTGTAGGCTGTTTTGGCTATTTTAGTCACAAAAGACAAAATAGGCTATTTTAACCACAACAAGCAAAACATCACATCCAACTCATAATCATTACACTCTTCTCTCACAAAAAAAAAGTCAAAAAAGCCAAAGGCCAAAAAGCCCTTCCCAAACTAAACTTTTTAGCCCAGATTAAAATAGCCAAAAAAACTAAAAAACTAAAAAATTAACCCACTTTCCAAACCAACCCTATATAAGATGAGCAACGTTTCAACAGATATATTAGTAATTTACCCTTAAATAAATTATACATACCAGTTTCGTATCATACAAGTTAAACACTAATTTGACCACCTTTATACGAAGTTGTATATTCAAACATTTCCTAAAATGAGTGTTGGGGAAGTTATTATTTTAGTTTTGGATAAGTTACATTGACATTCTTGATGTTTATTTTATAACAGTTTTTCTTTTCACCTTTTGGAAATTACATTCCTCTTCCTGAGGTTTAAAGTTTCATTACAGATTGCTTCCTGAGATTTAAATTTTCATAACAATTTTTTCCCTCACCGTAATGATCATCATAGATAAAATTAATTAAGCAAGGGATGTCAGTGTAATTTTTCAAATGTAAAGAGAGAACTGTAATAAACATAAACCTCAAGGAATATCAATTTAATTTACCCTTTAGTTTTTAATTATTTTAGTAGGCTAAAATTTTTGTATTTGAAAATATAATTAAATTTTTTTATATATTTATGAGAAAAAAAATGCAATGATTATCAATTTGATGTAATATTTTATCTTATTAATTATTTTAATCTATTTTATCATTTTATAAATTTTAACCCAAAACGCCAAAATATACCCCCTGCCAAACACCCCCAAAGGCTTGTCAATTTCATTGGTACTACTAGTTCATTGCTTAAAGAGTAATACTGTTTACATAACAAAAATATAACCTGCCATGTCTTCCTCAACAAACCCAACAGACAAAGCAATAGAGCTTTTATGTATGCTGCAAAATAAGCATTAAATTACTAGGAAAAGTTGTAATTTCAAAAAGTAAATAAAAAAGACTTCAAAATGAAAAATACAATATAAATTTCAATTCAATGTAATGAAAGTAACATCAAAATAAATTTAATTCACACATTTTGCATAAATAATACTAGCCTACCAATGAAAAAGCAGTCAAAAAGGGTCTTTCAAAAAGATTTGATTATTCTATTGATGATGATATTACAAACAAGTTTTGAAGTCTAAACTACCCACAAAAAGCTTCCAAACCCTTTATTCATTTCTACAAACATAGCTTGGCTAAAGCAAAACACACCTATATTGCCTACTACTTTCTCAAACAAACTTCTAGTTCTTCTTGAACCCTTTTATTTCATTATCATTGAATGCCACAAAGTTGAAACCTTTACATTGGTTATGGCAAGAGAAGCTCAATAGGTCCAATCCTGAGGCAAGCCCATATCAGGAGGAAGATGATAATGGCACTCTTCTTGCTTCCCCACAACATCCATTTTCATTGGATTCCCATGAGGAATGACTTTAGTCTCCTTTTTGTTTCTCACACCTGCCCACAACATATAAAAGAAACTTAACTATCTTTTACGCTAGACTGCGTTTGAATTTTGAATTTTATCAAGAATTTGTTTGAATTTTGAATTTTATCAAGAATTTGTTGAGTTAAAAGAAATTGGAAGGAAAAGTTACAAATTGCTCCACAAAAAATAATGACATACAAACAAAAGAGAACAATGATATACAAATAGAAATTTTGTACAAAAATTTCCTATAGATGAATGACATGGCAAAATTATGTTCATTCATTTCAAATAAAAAAAACCCAATCAAGTGATTTATAATTTTCAAAATGCCACTACATTTTCGCAAGACTTTTTGTATGAATTTTTTGGTTACAAATCATTTAGAATGATGTGGCTCAATGTAAACATTATTCTTGTAGCATTTTTTCTGTATAATTTTTTTTATGACTAGAGTTTTTCCTCAACAAATCTTTGGATCAAAACACAGCGGTCATGTGTATTGAGTCTTGGATTTGTGGAGATAGAAAAATAAAAAAATGAATTGAATGAATGCTAAATTTTCAAATTTTATTATCCATTTTTTCCCTAAAAATTTAAAATCCAAATACAACATTAATGGATTGAGAGTATGAAGGAAAGCAAGCAAATATAGAACCAAAAGCAACTAACTTAACCCAATCACATCCTAACAAATGCAAAAATATAATACACACACAAAACAAAAACAAAAAAACAAAAAACTATTTAGGGTTTGAATAGTGTAAATTATTCTTGTCCTACTCCAAATATTCTCTCCTTATCTTTCTCATATATAGAGAAGACATTAATCAAGCACTCTCACAGTAACCAAAAGAAGCATTCTGAAATCTGCATTGCTTTTTACCAAAACCATACATGTATCAACTGACCACAACCCAATATACCAGCCAGAGGATGGGACTGGACAAACCCCCAATTATTTTTAGCTGAAGAAAGAAATTCATTATTCCCAAAGTTGTTTTGGTTTCTTCATATAAACTGGAAAGCATACAAATTGCATATTTTCATAAAATAACAGTGGACCCATAGAGAAGCAGAGCCTTAATTACATCCAGTCCCCCTTAATTACATCTAGGTTAGGTATATCTAAAAATTAAATAATTTAATTAAAATATTAAAAAAATTCCCTAAAAATAAAAATAAAAACACGAAATACAAAAAATTGAATTCAAAATATTGGACCCAAACGTTTTCTGGCCATTTTATAGGAACTCACACACAAGCATGGTCTAAAAATTTAATGAAATTGTGGAATAAAACAGCTTCTAAACCATTAGCAAAATAAAAATAAAAATAGAAGAGGTAGTCCCTTTCCTTAACTATATATCCCAGAAAAAGGTGGGCCCAAAAAAAACATTGAAGGAGAAAATAAAGGAAAAATATTTTTTTTATCAATAAAATAAGCTACATATTCAAAAAAAAAAAAAAAATTATGAAGTATATAAACAAATAATTTTAAATTTAACATGATATGAGTTACATTCAAAATAAATTTAATCACTACATTTTATTTTTTAAATGATTTTAAAAAAAAAAGTTTTTGGAATGCATAGAATTCTTACAAATTTTGTATACATAATTTTTTACCAAAACAATATAAACATTAGAATTTTACAAATAAATATTATTTTAATCGTTATTCTTTATAAATGATAAATAATAGGCCTAGACAAATAATACTAGTGTGAAGTGAAGAGTGTAAGTTCAAATCTCCTCCCTATATCCTGGCCTGGCCTGGTTTGGGGTGTTTTAAAAAATTCAAAAAATTACAAAAAAAAACAAAAAAATTATCACTATTATCAAATTAAAAATATAAAAAAAATAATATTTATAATATTTTAATCAAACCAACTTTACACGGTTTATGGGACTGACTTGACCCCTTTAGTACCATGATGGGAAAAAAAAAATTACATATATAAAATCACTAAGTTGGACTATAATGTTGGGCCTGTGGGCGGCCAATCACGGATCTCGTTTTGATAATTCGAACCGATCAATGTGTAGAACTCGTCCAGAACTATATGCCTGTAAAAAATTATGTTGATCGGATATCATTAACTATATGATCAAATCAGTTTTATATAAAAAAATGGATGGTGCTATAGTTAGCAATTGATAAAAAAAAACTAACACAATCAGATAACTATCGATATCCAATCAACGTGATTTTTTACAAACATATAGTATTCGACGAGTTCTACACATTGAACGTTTCGATTAGTAAAACGAGACCTGTGGTAGGCCCCACGGACATGGACCGAACAACAACGTCCAATTCAAGCCCGAAAAAGAGACAATCATTTCCCATCTCCTAATCAACCCACTACCCTGCCCAACCTGTACGCCTACTTCCCTAACTTTTCCTACACACTTATTTATACAATTTTTTAATACATATTTTTTCATAAAAAGTCAAAATTAACCCAAACATCTATCTTTTTTTCTCAACTTTTTAGTTCAAAAAGACAAAAAATACACTTATTGAAATAATTGACCCGAATGAAATAATTGACCTCCAAAAAAGTCAAACATGACCGGTTAAATCTTAAAGCTTCACAATTATATATTTTAGACAAAAAAATTAAAAAATCACTATAAATTATCATATCACTCTTTTATTTTTTATACATCTTTTTATAAAAAAAATAAAATAATTTATTTTTAAACAAGGCCTGAAATGTCCCAAAAGTTTTGTAAATAAATTCTGTTCACTCCGTACTATATATATATATATATATAACAAGGAAAATGAGTGAGAGTACTAATTAGTGCGAGCACTAATTAGTGCTATCACTAATGATGTGACAGTGGGTCCCATCAAGAATGATTTGATATTTTGGCCTTGATATTATATTTTTTTTTCTTTTTTTATTGTGCCATGTTATTAGTTGTGTTTTTAGAACTCTAAAATTAATGGTCTCTATCATTGTTCATACAATAATCATCCTATCCATTTTTCTCTTACCAACTACATTTCTGTTGCTTTTCACCTTTTGCCAAAACAAACATTATGCAGATATATGAGCAAATAACACTTTGCCCATTTTATATTGCCTCAATTTGGCAAGTTGGGTTAGGGTTTTTTTTTGACTATTTTAATTACAAAAGATGTACTAATTAGTGCGAGCACTAATTAGTGCTATCACTAATGATGTGACAGTGGGTCCCATCAAGAATGATTTGATATTTTGGCCTTGATATTATATTTTTTTTTCTTTTTTTATTGTGCCATGTTATTAGTTGTGTTTTTAGAACTCTAAAATTAATGGTCTCTATCATTGTTCATACAATAATCATCCTATCCATTTTTCTCTTACCAACTACATTTCTGTTGCTTTTTTCCTTTTGCCAAAACAAACATTATGCAAATATATGAGCAAATAACACTTTGCCCATTTTATATTGCCTCCGTTTGGCAAGTTGGGTTAAGGATTATTTTGATTATTTTAGTCATAAAAGACAAAATAAGTTGTTTTAATCACAAAAAATAAAACATCACATCCAACTATAATCATTACCCTCTTTTCTCACAAAAAAAGTTAAAAAGCCAAAAAGTCGTTTTCAAACCAAGTTTTTTAGCTCAGGCTAAAATAGCAAAAAAAAAATCAAAAAGTCAAAAAACCAACCCACTTCCCAAACCAACCCATTGTTACTTTTTTTCCTTTGATTCTGAAAGTTATATTTTTTTTAAATTTAGCCATTCATATTTAAGTTTTTCTTAATTTATTTCTAAAATTAATTTATGTTTAAAATTATATAAGAAATGATGGGCTTGTTTGATTTGTATTTGTAGAGTAGTTTTTAAGATAAAAAGTACGAAAACTTGTTTGGTTTGCCTATTTTTAAAAATGATTTTAAAAAATTGTTTTGAGGAGAGTTTTAAAAAAAGTGATTGATTTGATGGGTATGAGAGAGAGATTGATTTTGGAAAGAAACAAACCAAACAAAATTTTGAGATTTTTTTTAGAAAAATTTGTTTGGAATTTGTTTGGTTTGATTACACTTAAAAATTTGTTTGTAGAAAATTTTTCCCAAAAATTTTTCCCAAAAACAAACCAAACAAGCCTGATATATTAATAGTCACATATCATATAAATATTTTATTATATATAACTCACTATGCCTCCGTTTAGAAAGTGAGTTGACTTTTTTGGCTATTTTAGCCTTGGCTAAAAAGCTTGGGACTTGTTTAGTTTGTATTTGAAAAACATGTTTTGAGATAAAAAGTACGAAAATTTGTTTAATTTGATTTTTTTAAAAAGATATTTTGAGAGAGAATTTTGAAAAATGTGATTGATTTGATATGCATAAGAGAGAGATTTGTTTGGAAAACTTGTAAACCGTTTGGTTACTTTTGAAAACTTATTTGTAGAAAATTTTTCCCAAAATTTTTTCAGAAACACAAACCAAACAAGGCCTTGGTTTGTGAAGGGCTTTTTGACTTTTCAACTTTTTTGACTTTTTTTTGTGAAAGAATAGTGTAATGATTATAGGTTGGTTGTGATGTTTTGTTTATTGTGACTAAAATAGCCTATTTTATTTTTTTGTGACTATTTTAGCCCCAAAATCACTTGCCAAACATCACCTATACAAATGCAAACCTCAATATAATATATTTTTTATGTTATATGATATTTTTTTGTTTAATTTTGAATAAAAATTAATTTTAAGAGTAAAATGAAAAAAAAAAATTGAAACAAAATGGCCCAAAATGGAAATAAACAAACCCAAAGTGAGAAAAACACCAAACATAAAAGGGGCTATATGATAATTTACCGTAAAATATATATATATATATATATGCATGAAAATATATTGAATGAGCAAAATTTTGAAATCTCAAAATTAAACTAAACCAAACCAAATAGTAGCATTAAGTATACTAACCAAACAGTACTACATACACACTCAGCAATGTAACTAATTTCTTCAAAAAAAAAAAAAAAAAAAATTTACTCATGATCAATAGCATTAAATGTGCGAGGAACAGACAAAAAAAAAAAAAGCATAGGAAGTGAAAAGAGTTTACTCTGTCGCCTTCTACCATCGGCGGCGGTGGTGGTGGTGGCGGAGACGGCAGCGCGTGGAAGAAACACACCAGTTCCGCCGTACTCTCTCACAAAACCGCCGCCGCCGCCGCGCATGCCAAGCCCGGTTCTCTGCTGGTTTTCCAGCAGCCGGTTCTGCAAAAGCCGGTTCTGTTCTCTCAGCAAAACCCTAGCCCTTGTTTCCATAAAGCTCTCAACCTGCCAAAAAACAAAAAAGAAAGACCACCCATCAGCATCAACAAAAGCTGAAAACGCACAAACCATGAAAGAGACAAACCCAGTACTACGAACAAAACAAAACAAAACATAACAAAGAAAAAAAGACAGCGGTTTTTACCTGAGGTTGAACAGGGTTTATAATCTGATGTGGGTAATAAACCGGCCTAGAACCCACCCACAGGTTCAACCCATGAAAACCAAGTCCATTACCAACCCCAAAACCTCCATCGATGGCAAGATACCCGGTCGGCAAAGAACCCATCGAATCGTACCGAACCGGTCCGAACCGCTAAAAACCCACAAAAAACGAAAATCAGACCGCCATGAAAACAGCCTAAAAACACGACAGATAGAGATGGGTACCTGGGTTTGGTTTCGGTGACGATCAAGGAAAGCCAAGGCAGCGAAGCGATGAGCGAGGTCGGAGGGGTAGTATGGTCTGGTAAATTTGGAAGGGACTTCCTCGAGAGGGAAGATATCAGAAGGAAGCCATAGCTCTCCATCGTCCAAATTTGGAGGAAAGTCCGCCATTTCTAGAGAGAGAAAGAAGTGAGTGAGAGTAGTGTAGTATTTGATTTTGGAGAGAGAAACAAGGGGGGAATTTCAAGGGTCCAAAGCGGGATGTTGTTTAGAGAGAGAGAGAGAGAGAGAGAAAGAGTGAGAACGGTTGAGAGAGAACGGTTGAGAGAGAAAGATGAGGTGTTTGCCATCAAAATGACGTTACGAGTTTTCTCTCTCTATAGGTATATTACACTTTCTACCCTTGATATTTGATATTTTTAACGGTTTTGGTTGGTAGCTCGAAATTTAGTGGCCCTAATGGCCCTAAATTTTCATATAAGGCAAAAAAAAAAAACAAGGCAAAAAAAAAAAAGAAAAAAAAAACAAACTTATCCAGAAAAGGAAATTAGGGCCATTAGGGCCACAGATTTTAGGGCCACAATTCATTTTCCTATTTTTATTTGGGAGTTTTTTTCTTTGATAAATTCACTTTTTAAGAGTTTTATTTCATCTAATTCATATTTTTTTTTATTATTTCATTAGGTTCTATTTGAAATAAGAAGACCAAAATATTTTTTTCATCAACTTATGTTTCATTTAGTTTACATTATTTTCTTATATTTCAATAAATCCTATGGGTGACATAATTATCAAAATACCCCTAATGTGAATGTTCACATTGTCAATGTGAATGTTCATATCATTAATGTGTAGGGGTCCGGCCCATGTCGATCCTCGTAAGTGCCCGGAAAAATTCGTATCAAGCCGAGACGGCCCCGGCCTGTTGACAATGTGAATATTCACATTGACATGTTAACATTCACATTAATAGGAGTGTAAAGTTGGCCCACGTCCCGTGGCGGCGCGAAACCCGCCCGCAGCCCAGGGCGGGTCCAGTCCGGCCCGTTGACAATATGAATATTCACATTGACATGTTAACATTCACATTGATAAGAGTACAAAATTGACTCGCGACCCATAGGTGGCCAAAAGCCCGCTCGCGGCCCGGGATAGGCTCGGCCCGGCCCGGCCCGTTGACAATGTGAATATTCACATTGACATGTTAACATTCACATTGATAGGAGTGTAAAATTAGCCCGCGCCTCATGGTTGCCCGAAACCTGCCCACGGCCCGTGGCGCGGCCCGGTGCAGGCCCGACCCGGCCCGGCCTGTTGACAATGTAAATATTCACATCGACATGTTAACATTCACATTGATAACAGTATAAAATTGGCCAGCGGCCCAGGGCAGGCCTGACCTTGGCCCGTTGACAATGTGAATATTCACATTGACATGTTAACATTCACATTGATAAGAGTGTAAAATTGGCCCGCAGCCCGTGGGTGGCTCGAGGCGAGCTTGGCCCGACCCGTAACAATATGAATATTCACATTGACATGTTAACATTAACATTGATAGGAGTGTAAAATTTGCCCGCTGCCCGAAGCTTGGCCGCGGCCCGGAGTAGGCCCGGTCCGGCCCGTTGACAATGTGAATATTCACATTGACATGTTAACATGCATATTGATAGGAATGTAGAATTGGCTCGCGGCCCGTGGGTTGCCCGAAACCCGCCCACGGCCCGAGGCAGGTTTGTTTGGGTCCGGGCCCGAGCATGTCCGAGACCCTAGGCTAGGGCCTAGGCCATCACTTTGAAGCCTAGCCCAGCCTATCAGCCTGCTTAAGGCCCATTCAAGGCTCGGTCCGAGGCCTAGCTCGCCCGAGGCGCAATGTCTTTTTTTGTGGAAAATAATAAAATTTTGGTAGAAAAAATTAAAAAGAATTAAAAAAAAATAGCCAGGCCCGCTCAAGCACGACCTAAGCTCGAGGTTAGGCCCAGGCCCACCGGCCCAACCCGAGGCTCGATCCATCGGCCCGTCCAAAGCCCGAATACCCTTGTGCAAGGGCTAGGGCCTGGGCCTAATTTTTTTGCCCGTGGGCCGGGCCGGGCTGGCCCGGATATTTTCGGACCCCCACGAGGCTCGATATGGGCCGACCCAGGCCTCTACGCATTGATGATATGAACATTCACATTGACGATGTGAACATTCATATTATGGGTATTTTGGTAATTATGTTTCCCATAGGACTTATTGAAACATAAGAAAATAATGTGGACTAAATAGAATATAAGTAGATGAAAATGGTATTTTAGTCTTCTTACCTCAAATAGGACTTAATGGAATAACTTGTAAATTTTAGTCTTCTTACCTCAAATATAAGTAGATGAAAATGGTATTTTAGTCTTCTTTTTCACAAATTTCAACAAGTGTTAGACATAACCTCAGTTTAACTTTAACTTGTAAATTTTTCACAAATTTCAACAAGTGTTAAACATGATCTCGGCCTAACTTCAACTTGTAAATTTTTCACAAATTTCAACAAGTGTTAGACATAACCTCAGTTTAACTTCAACTTGTAATTTTTTCACAAATTTCAGCAAGTGTTAAACATGATCTCGGCCTAACTTCAACTTGTAAATTTTTCACGAATTTTAACAAGTGGTAGACTAATTTTAGCTTGTATATTCTATCTTTCCAGGAACCATTTTCCAACTCCTTGCCCCCTAATGTGAACTTAAGTTCCACTTGGGTTATCATTATGCATGCATTCCAGGAACATCGGCAAGTATCGTATAATTGTAAGAAGTCAAGCTAAAACTTTATTTATTTACTTTGGCAAATAACAAAGAACAAAAAAGTCTAATGATAGAAAAATTTTAAATTGCAAGTATTCCAAGGTCTTGGCAACTCTTTGCCTTCACTATCTTCAAGCTGATATGCCCCATTGCCCAATACCGAAGTGATTCTATAGGGTCCCTCCAAATTTGGGCCAAGCTTACCCTCTCTGGGATCTTTTTTGTTGCCGACGACTTTTCTCAAGACCAGGTCGCCGACTTGGAACTCCCCTAGGTTAACTTTCTTATTATAAGCCCTGGCAAACTGCTGCTGGTATGCTGCCAGCTGAATTGCAGCTCTCTCCCTTCTTTCTTCTAGTAGATCCAGATCTCGGGCTAATAATACATCATTGGTCCCATTCTCTACTTCTTGGGCTCTGATCCCTGGATGCCAACCTCCACAGGAATGACTCCTTCTGTGCCATAAGTCATGGCAAATGGGGATTCCCCAGTTGATCTTCTCGGCATAGTCCGATATGCCTAGAGTATACTTGGCTATTCATCCACCCACTTTTCTTTCGCTGCCTGCAGTCTCTTTTTTATCCCATCCAAGATAACTTTGGTGGATACTTCTGCTTGTCCATTGCTTTGAGGAAAACTTGGGGTTGAAAAATAATTCTTGATCTTGAATTTTGCACAGAAGCTCTTGATTAGCTTACTGTCAAATTGTGTTCTATTGTCAGCAACTATTGCTCTTGGGATCCCAAATCTTGTGATTATGTTCTTCCATATGAAGCTTTTTACATCCATATCTTGGATCTTGGCTAGGGGCTCAGCTTCTATCCATTTGGTGAAGTAATCTGTTACTACCAGCAGGTACTTCCTTTGCCCAGTTGCTTGGGGCAGTTTTCCAACAAGGTCCATGCCTGAATGGGCAAATGGCCAAGGACTGGATACTAGGTTCAGGTTTGCTGTTGGTTGGTGTATCAGTGGTGCAAACCTTTGGCATTTTTCACACTTTTTGACATAGGCCTCTGTATCCTTCTGCATGTAGGGCCACCAATACCCCTGGGTGATGGCCCTATGAGCTAGTGATCTGCCCCTAGCGTGGCTTCCACAAATTCCTTCATGTATTTCGTATAAAAAATCTTCAACTTGTGAAGGGTGTACACACCTCAAAAGGGGTCCAGTGAAGGATCCTCTGTAGAGATGTCCTTCCGTTGTCAGACTGAATCTTACCGACTTCAATATGATCTTGTGTGTCTCTTTGTGATCATCTAGAAATTTTCCTTCTTTCAGGAATGCTACTATTACATCCATCCAGCTTGGTCCCATGTCCACACACATTACTTCACGCTCTGTGGTTAGTGGTTCGATGCTCGGGCCCGACAAGTAGTTGACTATTATCGTCCTTGCTTTTCCAGGTTGTATTGCACTAGCCAGGTTGGCTAGTGCATCGGCGTGACTGTTATCATCTCGGCTAACCTGATGTAGTCGACAATTCTAAAACAAGGCCACCAACCTGTTGACCTCTTTTGCATAGGCCGGCATTCTCTCGTCTCTGGTTGCAAACTCGCCTGTCGTCTGGTTGACTATTAGCTGGGAGTCGTAGAAGACTATTACCTCACCTGCTTCTGATGCTACTGCCAACTTCAATCCTGCAATCAATGCTTCATACTCTGCTTCATTGTTTGAGGCCTTGAACCCCAGATAAATGGACTGTTCCAATATCTGTCCATCTAGAGATATTAGTACTACTCCTGCCCCCGCTCCTTGTCGGTTTGAACTCCCATCGACAAACAGTCGGAAGGATTCGCCGATGTAGATGCTGCAGGGTCTGAGTTTTTCTTCTTTCCTTTGTTCCGTCGCCTTCGGCTGGGCTCCTCCTTGCTTGCTATGACATCGTTCACTTCGGCTCAGCGGAGCTTGATGTATGATGGATTCTAGTGTGAACTTGGCCACGAAGTCGGCCAAAACTTGGCCTTTGATTGCTGTTCTAGGTCTGAACTCTAGGTTATACTGGCCCAAGGCCACTGCCCATCTAGCTATTCTCCCTATCAGGTCTCCCTGCTGCAACAGGGACTTCAATGGATGTTCAGTGAGCACCACAATTTTATGGGCTTAAAAGTAATGGTTTAGCTTATTTGAAGCCATTACTAAGGCCAGCGCCAACCTCTCTAGGGGTAAATACCTAGTCTCTGCATCAGCTAGGGTTTTACCTACATAGTAAACAACCCTTTGTTCCTCTTTTTCTTCTCGGATTACAACTGCACTTACTGCATGTTCTAAACCTGCCAAGTACAGGAATAGCTCCTCTCTAGGTTCTGGATTTGAAAGAACTGGAGCTGTGGTCAGATACTTCTTCAAGTCGGCCAAGGCGGCTTCGCACTCCTCGGTCCATAAGAAGTCTGTGGCTTTCTTCACTAAGTTGAAGAAAGGTTTGCACTTATCTGAGCTTCTGCTTATGAACCTATTCAGGGCTGCGGCCCTTCCAGTCAGTATTTGTACCTGTTTTGCCGACGTCGGGCTCTTCAACTCTAGGATGGCCTTGATCTGATTTGGACTGGCCTCAATGCCCCTTCTAG